CAAAACAAAACAAAACAAAACACAAAACAAAAAACAACACACAAAACAAAACAAAACAAAACAAAAAATAAAACAAAACAAAACAAAACAAAAAATAAAACAAAACAAAACAAAACAAAACACGAAACACAAAAAAACAAAAAATAAAACAAAACACAAAAAACAAAACACGAAACACAAAAAACAAAAAAAAACAAAAAACAAAACAAACACAAAACACAAAACACAAAACACAAAAAACAAAACAAAAAACAAAACAAAACAAAACAAAAAAAACAAAACAAAACACAAAACAAAACACAAAACACACACACACACACAAAAAACAAAACGAAATGAAACAAAACAAAACAAAACAATGCTTTGCCTTGGCTTCCCTAATGGATAGGTCCAGGATTCAGTTGGGTACCTAAATTATTGTCTGCAAAAAGGGGCTGATGTAGATTTAAGAAATATAATTCCTTGTGAGTTTGAGATAGGTCAAGTTTCCCTGCAGGGTGGATTTCCAGACTTGTGAGCTGTGGAGAATGGGAACTGTAGTTGGACACATCTGAGGGACAGCTAGGAGTGACTGAAACAGAATAGGACTCTTTTCTATTAATATATATGAACTAATGATCTTGGAATGAGAAAATCTGTCTTGGTTGTGCTTTCTACTAGGAATGTAGTAAACTAGGCACAGGTTCTTATTCTCTTCCCTGAAAGTCCTTTTGGCTTTCTCATTTCCCTGGGATAGGCTAGAAAAGGAAGGTAGATTAGAAAAGAGAGCCTAGTGGACTGAATGTGATATCTCCACCCCATAGTTGGTGCTGCATTCCATGAAGGGGGAAATGCTTGTCTCCATTCTTGACTATTGCAATGTACTCTATATGGGGCTGCCCTTGAAGAAGCTACCCAGAAGCTTCAACTGCTCCAGAATGCAGTGACATTGGCACTACTTTGCAAGCTACACTGGTTGCCAGTTTGCTTCTGGGTGTGATTCAAGATGCTGGTCATTACTTATAAAGCCCTACATGGCAGAGGGCCTGCTACTTTGGAGACTGCCTATCTCCCCTAGTATTTGCTTGGTTGCTTTGATCCAACAAGGTTGGTGTGCTCAACATTCCTTTGAATAAACAATGCCATCTCTCAGGATCCCAGAAGCATGCCTTTTATGTTCCAGTGCCTGCCTTCTGAAATGAGGTGTTCCCTCAAGATCCATGTGGCTCCCAACATACCCATTTCAGAGGCCTTGAAGACCTGGCTATTCACCCGGGACTTTGGTGAGGTTGGGTATAGCCTCTTCTGAGGAATGGCTGTGTGTTTTATTGTTGCCCAGTTTTGCCATCCTTGCTTCTAGGTTATTTTCTTTTTTTGCCACATTATTTTATTGTTTTCTAGTTTTCTAGTTTTCTTGTGAACCATCCAGAGTCACTGGGAGTTGGGCGCTGTACAAATTAAATAGATAAATAAAAGTAGGGACAAATACCAGCAGGCCTCTTTCTTGAAGCAGTGCTGGCTGTCTACAGTTGAGGAAGCAGTCTCTTCCCTAAGAAAATAAGTTTTGGATCTGATTTAGTGCAATGGGGTAGGTTTCTGCTGATTTTGAAGTTGATTTCTCGCCCATGCTTGATTGGGAAAAATCAGTGCAACAGCAATGCAAACTTGGAGCTCTGCTGAAATATCCTGGAGCAATTCTGTTTGTCTGCTACTTGATACTAAATAAGATCAAACCCAGGGGTATTGCCTTATCAAGTTGTCTTATTCATCACTGATGCTCATTGCCTCCTATGAATTGAACTGGTTCTTTTGAGATCTTTTATTTTGGGTGGCCTCTCAAGAGACTGCCTGGTTCCTGATAGGCAGAAGTTTGTCAGTAGAGCTTAGACGTGATTACTCCTGCCCCTTTCTAGCCCCACTGGAAATAACTAACCAGCATATCAGCAACCTTTTCCCCTTGAAGAGAAAAAAAATCCTTTTGCATGAATGGAATTTATACAGAGGAGGGAAAAGGTAAATGTCTTTGTGCATGATAAAATATGCACTCCTGATGATGCTAGTTCCTTGGAAAATGCTGTAATGCTCTCATTTACAATCTTAAAATCTGTCAATTTGTATTTACCTTTGAGGCAGAATATCTTTGTAGGGTATTGCTGGAAGAAAGAAGCAGTGGAAAATATTTTGTGGAAACCTATAATTTCAAACAATTTTTGAGATGTGGTATAATTAGGGTTGTAGGATTGCATTTATATGTCTAAATTTAATGTTATAGGAATTATGTTTGTGGTGTTTCTTTGAGAATGTGATCAAGAGTGATGTCCTTAATGGGCATTTTACAGCATAAAGCTGGGACAAGAGACCTGTGATTCTCCAACTGTTATTGGAATTCTTTTTCCCCACCCACTATGGCCAATGGCTCAAATGAAGGGATTGTAGTTCAAGCATTTTATCTACAGACTCTGCCATAGCTGTTTTTTTCATAGAGTTTCATGATTTTTGTTGTTGCTGGAGCGACTGTAGTAAAGATGTCTACAAAATGCTTAGCTTACTTTTCTTTCTTTTCTTTTTTTGCAGAGAGCTTATTTGCATTCCTAAAATGTTCATTCTGATAATAATGGAACCTCAGAATAATAATGGAGAGAAAATAAGAAAATCCATTCATCCCCTTGTTTCTATTTCTCCACCCACATATATTTTGATGCAAAAATAACTTTTGACAGCAAAGAATACATTACTAGGTTATTTTTGCCTGGGATTGTCATTACAGCAATTTATGAGCTTCCAGAGATTAGAAATGTCACTGCTTTTATCAAAGCTCTACTTGCTTTCCTCAGAGTTCTGCAGATGTTTCTCCTGAACATTCATTTCAAAATTTCACAAGGGTGAATTCAGTGTCTCAGGCCGTATCAGCTTTATCCCTGTAAGTATGTGTCAGGCTTCTATTACTGGAATGCCCTGTGAGAAGAAGTCAGAAACAGATTTACCTCAGGAGGCATTTCATAGGCCTCATTTTCTGCCGGGTCTGTGTTATCCATAATTCCTTCCTGTGTAAGACCTTCTTCATTCTACGATTAAAAATATATATATGTATTTAAAAACATGGCACACTTTTCTTCTTATTTCCCCATTTTCAATACAATGTTTTGCTATTCAGCTTGGTTAAGAGAGTACTAAATAAGTGTTATGTAGTTGCCACAAAGAATAGGAAAGACAGAACATTCCCAAACGTAGAAAGCAAGTTGAGGAAAAGGTAGCCAACTTCTCCAAAATATCAACTTTTGGTAGATGGCTCATAAATACTTACTGAAATTCCAAAAAAACTCATGGGCTTTCTATGCATTCATTTAAAAATGGTAAATTGCCAAGAAACCTTGATGGTTGGTGATATACAAAGTCTAATAAATGCAGTCCCATTATGAAAGTTAGCACCATTGTCTTAATGAGACCAAGACTCTGGCTGTTTTTCACTTAAATCCAATTTATGTTTATATTTTATTTCAGCTACCGATATTGAATTTTCTGTTGTCTTAAATCATAAATCTGGAACCTCCTGACAGAAGTATGGATCTTTGGTAATACATAACACTTCTCAGAATCACTTTCCCTTATATCCAGAGTCTGGCTGAGCAACAAATTACATTTGAAAGGTATCTCTTCCCCCCTTCCACAATGAAATAGGTTAATGACACTCCTTGCCCTGACACACACATTTATGTAGTGTCTGTATGCCTCACAACCTACAAGCACCATGTACTTTGTTGGAAACTCTTACGAATGTACTATGCTGGTGACACACTTTGCTGGTTGCCTTTGCCTATACTGATTAATGTAGAAACATTTATATGTTCTAGACTGTGGACTACATGATCTTTTCCCCATCTCACAACACTACGATTCCCTGATTAACAATTTTAACAGGCTTTGAAGGAGCAGGAATCCATAGATCATCCCAAAAAAAGCAATTAGCTAAGCAAATACAGCTTTACAGGGTAAACAGAGATGGCAAAACATGGGAAAGCAAGAAGTTGTAGAATTAAAAATCCTCTTCTCTTTTTTCATTGTGGACTCTAATGAGCGATTAGATGCAGTGTTAACAAATAACATATATAATGGGGTGCAGTTCCTGGTATAGTAAGTTGATTAATCTTTCCTAGGCTGTCTTCTAATAATATATTTTAATCTTAAAATATAACTAAGGTTTTGAGAACTATTTTTGTTCTGTATTCCAACAAGTGGCTGAGTTGCTTGCTACTACTAATACTCAGTAGGCGCGATATGGTTCATGGGGTCACGAAGAGTCGGACACGACTTAACAACTGAACAACAACAACAACTAATATTCAGAACAGCTTCTTGGAGCTGTAATGGCTAGCAAGGAAAACCCTAAGCATGATACTACAATCCAAATCTTTCAAAGTAGCTGTGGTATGAGGAGAGAGAGACTGGAAATCCTTTGAGGAGCTTTTGAAAAATATGACATAAAAATGCAGCAGCCTGATGCATATAGTGGGGGACAAAGAGCTATACAATTTATAATTCACTTTAGAGGGATATAATTAAAGACATGAACCAAAGGAGCACATCATTAAAATGCTACATGGGGTTTCACCTACAGAGCATTTAGTCACACAATTAGTCAAATCAGTGTGATTCAGAAATATTATGCACCTTCAGGATAATACAGTTCACATCAAATTTTCTTTAGCAAGAAAACTGAAAATGGCTTTAAATCAGGAGGAGTCTGGTAGGACCTTTTTTGGCTAACAAATATTAGTGAAAAGCATAAACTTTAGGGAGCTATTATCACAAAAATGTATCCCTTTTAATAAAATGTGTTAACAGGAAAAGATACTACCAGATTTTGCTACATACCTCTCTTCCTACAATGAAAATGGCTTTAGAGAACTTGACATTTCTTTGAGATAGACCATCCTATCCCTTTCTCTCATCTGGCATAGGCAACTGCAGAGAAAGATGGCCATGCTGTGTGGAGTAATGGCGATTATTGTCCAATGCGTCTGGAAGAGACTACGATCGGGAGAGTTGGTACAACATTGAATTCAAGTTCCTTAAGAAGCTTTTTCATTTACCCCTGTATGCAATGCGTGTGTATACGATATCACATTTAAAGAATGTGGTTACCATAGTAACAATTACTACTTTTTAAAAATTAGCTGTCTTTAAGAATTAGATGTATGAAGGAATTTTCTCTCCTAACAAACTGATCACTGGTTTGGATATATTGGATATCAATGCTGCTACTGATCGTGAACTTAACATGATTATCTTCCTCTATTATTATAGAACGGACTCTTATTTTGGCTTGTTAGCAATGGAGTATGTCAAGCAAACCATGCCTGTGAAACTGCTTTTGAACTTTCACCATAAAGAATGTATGCTATCTAGTGCTGTCAATAGCAGGAAATAGAAGCCTTCTGATTTTGATAGCACTAGGGATAAAATAAAATAAAATAAAATAAAAAGAACACATTTTAGTAGCAAAATTGAAGACTTAAAGTGATGAACTACTAGGTCATACTTGATTTCTTATACTAAACCTAAATTACTTAATATGCTCAAGCCTAGGTAAGCCATCAGATGTTTCAGACTTCTAATCCCATCAGCACCAGACAGCATCACAAATAGCAGGGAGTTAGTTATTGGAATTGTAGTCCAAAGCATTGGGAGGCCACCAGGTTGCCTATCCTTGGTTTACTATTTACACATGTGAGCAGAATGAAGTGGTTGCGTTGTAAACTGAAATGACACCCTGACACACAAAGTACCTTGCCACATTTCAGGCTTAGGTTGTTGTACAAACTCAGCCAGTGTAAGAAATTCATGATCCAGGTGTATCTTGTGATCTTAGAAAGTTGAATTGGTTAAACCATGATTCAGCATGCATGGAGAAGCATGCCATGCAAATGCAGTCATAATGTGCATTTCAAGTTGGATGTAGGGAACTCACATGTCTATAGTAAAACCTTCCTAAAAGTCTAATATTTGCAATTCCTGTTCCACAATCCACCATTCAGTGTTGTGAAAGCATTTTTCTGATTCTGTTTCTGTTTCTTCTCTCCTATTTCAGGTTGCTTTAAAATTTAATTTAGTGGTAATTTTGCTCTGGTTTTATGGTTGTGACGTTAAAGAGTGGGCTGGTGTTGTTTTCAATCAGACATCTCTTTTTCACGCTGCAGACTTCCTAATTCCCCCAGTTTTCTCTGCAAAACCCCACTGGGATGCCTTCCTTCATATCTTCTTTGAGATTTAAATTGAAACATGGGCATTAGGTGGGGGGTTGCAGACTGTTAAGGGTTTATGGCACAGTAGAACACAGGCTGGTCTCACAGAGATCCCCTTTGATTATACGGTATACAGGGTCAATGCATTTGGCATCCTACCAGTGAAAGGTTCAGTTAAATATTCTCTCCCCCATACATAAATAAATAACCATCCATTTCCATTAAATCTGAAACAACTGAAAAACTACACAAAACAGATTTTTGACACATTATTAAAATTAGCACCGGGCAACAATCTTTCTCCCTGACATGCAGTTTTTGTTTCTAATACATAAGAAGTGCAGAACATAAAACATTCCACGACAGAATCTCCCACCAAGCTTGACCACCTCAGAAGTCCTCGTCCTCAAGTTGCTGCTCATGTTGATTAGTCTTAAGTCATACAACTTATAGAAAGAGGGTTTTTTTTCCTCTTTCCACCAAGCAAGCAGGGACGGTATCATGTCTGTCTGCTACTTTATGTTTATTTCCATTTGAACTGCATTCTTAATAACCACAACCAACAAAAAAGCATGAAATAAAAATCATTACAGCCAACAGTGGAAAAAACAAATGGAGCAAGAGTTCCTGTTTAACTTCTGGCTGTGGCCACCATTAAGTCACAAATGCTCGGCACATTAGCTTGGTCATAGCCAGAGGCAGAAATGTCAAAAAAGCCGATACCTGATTGCTTTTTGAAGAGCAGTATTTGACATGTGGGGAAACTTGAATATCTAACTTTCAAGTCATTTATGACTTGTAGAAGAACATCGCATTTTAAATTGGCCCAGAAATGGATAGGCAACCACCAGGCATCTTTCAGGATTGGTATGATATGATCCCTGATAAATATTATTAACAACACCCTAGTAGCTTCCAAATCATCTCCACGAGTTGTCCCACACAGAACAACAATCCATCTAGAACATAAATTGCTGTAGTATTCCTGCATAGGAATAGCTATAGTAGACACCAGCTAAAATTGTGCAAAGTACTCCAGGTCACTGAGGACAGCATGCCAAGTCCTGAAAACAGTTATAGAAAACTGCATCAGCGTATGTTCCTTTTAGACCCAATCAGTCAGCCCGGAACTCAGCCTGGAACTCAGAAAATATATACGACTCTGTGTTGAACCTTGGGGAGAGAGATGGTTCCCTACTGCCCTCCAGAAACCAAATGATCAAGACTGAAGCTTCATCTACTCAACACTGATCTCTCTTAGGAATCATTTTTGTGCATTGACAGAATACAAATCCACATCTTCCCATGCATACTAGTTAACATGTTCATGTAGGTGCAGTATGTATGAAGTTGCACATAAAAGTCTGATTCCCTTGATCCTTCTTTCTCAAAAGTGAAGCAATGCAGATCCCATGAATGAAAGCTATGACAAAGCGATTAAGTCTGCACATCAGTTTACGTGCGTGTCCCCTCTTCAAACATGCACCATAGAATTTTTTAGACATTTCTCTCTATGTGAACCATCTGCACGTTTTCTTGAACTCCAGTTTACAGTTCATTATGCTCGTGCATGGCATTATCTATGCAACTTTCCTTAACTTGGCAATGCAATTCTGGGAGTTGGAGACTCAGTGCTTTGATGGCGGGGAGAAGGGTGGGAGGAAGCATCACGTTGTAGGAAAGTTCATCTATGGTGTTTTTACTTGCCAGATCTGACCATAATTTAACTTCCTATTACAGAATTAATCCAGATCTTGACTTTTTGGATATTGATGATCATAACTATTTAATGAATATTGCTTAATATTGTGAAAATATGTTTA